TACCGTTATTATCATAGAGAATGCTGCAGATATACCATAAACATTAGGGCAGCTATAACGTTAATTATGTGATATCTACGATATTGAATTATATATATTCATGAATATAAAGGTCGGTATCTCATAACAGAACACAGTTTTCGTAAATTTGCATAAAAATTTCAAGCGAGGAAAGAAAAAAAGAATTAAATATTCATTAAGTTAAATCTGTTTATACGCGCTATTTGTCTACAATTCGAATTTAATGTTTACTTATGTAAACTTTGGTTTAGTTTGTCCCCCTTTACAGCTGCTAATTCGAGTCAATTCAACGAACTTGAAATTTGTTTATGAGCCAAGGCATTAATTAAATTCGAGAGTAGACGATTCTATAACTCTTTTTTTTTCTTGTTATAAACATATTTCTACATCGCTCCATCTTCTTGCCAGCATCTAATAAGCGCTGCCTATAATCAAGAAAGAACAAAGATGCATACAAATATAGACTCGATCTAACTAGAGTGATGTAAAAGGTATAATTATCACACGTCGTCTCGATGCCTTTCTTCTTCCCCCCCTGCAACTTCTCTATAATGGAAAAATGTTATCTTTTACTAAATATATCTCTCGATAGAATGCCCCCCGTTTTTTTTCCTTTGTCTTGGATGTAAAAAGTTGCCTTGGTAGAGCATAGAAGAAGCTTAGATCCATCATCTGTTCCTTGTTAGCTTTATGGTGGAAAGAGCCACGTTATTCTTCAGTGGATCGAATGTCAGACTAGTTCTACTGAATATGTTTTCAATTTTTCGTATTTCAGGGAATTTAAGAGGGTTGACTTTCAGGAAAATTATTCTGGGGATTCGTGTTCCATCGAGCGTGCAGTCTCTCTCTCTCTCTCTTCTTTCTTCAGCATCCTGATTTGATCTAGCGCAAAACGTCTCTTCGGAGGTATTGTTCGTCGCAGTGGCCTTAACTGTAATTGTGTTTACACGAAAGACGTTATCGGCAGCGTCAAAATATTGTTACTAAGTGGGAGTCGCGCGTTATCTGCTCAATTCCCAGCTATGGGAGCAGAGCACCCAGAAATAATAAACAGAGGAAAGCAGTTAAAGTAGTGACGACCCAAAAGACATATACAGAGCCTCGCTCTGAGCAATAAACACGAGAGTAGACGACGCTTTTACGATATCTATCTGCCTTGCTGCTCTTACTCGAGTCGGTGCACGGATTTGATTTTCCGTGTCACACCAATCGTATTCCATCACTCAATATGCATGACATGGAAATTGCATTTCTCTCGGACCCTATGACAAGCTGAACAGCTTTGAATAATCATTTCATCTCCTGTTCTTTTCTTATTTTCTACCCTCTCCTCTCGTCTCTTCCCTTTTCCCACTCTTCTCTCTCTCTGTTCTTCCACCCTCCTCTACTTATGTATCGTTTACGCTAGTTTATAGTAGAAATATTCGAACGGTTAATTACATTCCGCGAATTGGAATTGGAATTTTTATAGATTTGTATTATCTATTTGTATTGTTCCATCCGGTGCCGCGCAACGTTCACTTCTTTCCTCCATTGCTCTTTGACGTTAATTATATTTTCTGTGTGATTTATGGTAACGAATCAAAATCGGACAGTTGTTATTGAAAAATTAATATGTGTAGATTCTGCACGGTTGGATACTCAGAGGGGGAGGGAAGGGTAAAGTGAACGTTGACCCCCCTCCCACTTTCACCGAGCTAGATCGGAATTAGCAAAGGGTTTTACAGTAGTAAAGCTGGCATTTCTGTTTAACAGTATACAGAGAGACGAGAATGGAAATGTGGAATGTTTATTGATTTTTACGGAGTAAACACATGTTATAATAACCTAGTTTAATGATTTAACTCGTGTCGGGTGTTTTCTCCGGTTTATCGAGCCAGAGCAGGTGGTTAAACTCTGCACGACAGCCTTACAAACGGCCTATAGAAACCCCTTGCGAAAGTGAGTAAAAAATCGCCAGCTCGATCGATTTGTTCTATTGTTTATGCAGCTGTGACCATAAACCAAAATAGGGTCTACGATTTTGCACAGTTCATTCGCTTTTCTAGCCAATTTCCAGAGCAGATAAAGGATCTACTACGTCCTTCTTTCCACCTCGGTTTATCGTGACTGCAAACGAACCCCTATTTATACTCATAAAAAATTCAGAGTTATTACCAGACAAAATACAATTAGACTATGACAAACTCTGTTAAGTGTCGTTAATTAATTATTTATCGTAACTTATGAATATTAACTTGGGTGCGAGACGTTGCCTGCTACAAGTGGATACATTGTTTGCTATAGGAATATTTTATGAAGTAAATACTCTGTTCTGTGTTTATTCATTCGGTTCCCCACCTTTTTTTTCGATTTAACTTTCGAAATTGAATAAAGGATGCCACACACACACACATGCACACACACACACAGAGGGTTTGCATGGTTAACAGCATTTTATATAGGGAAAATGCATACATTGCCAGTCTATACCGTTTAATATAATATAGAATAAACCTATTTCATTATAGAGCAGCTAAATTAATTTTAATTATATTAAAGCGGTAAACAGTAAACTTTCTTATAGATATTTTATTAAAGCTCGAGCGGGTATAAATTTATTTTAAGGCTCAGAGACTCGATCTTTAAAGAATTTTTACTTCTCTCTAATTAATATCTTGGCGTAATTCGATTCGTTAGAGTTTATAGTCTAAAGTATGGGGTCAACTCTCTAACTCTACCATCCCCCCGTCTATTAGAAATTAAAATTATCATCCTTTTATAGAAGTAGCAACAGCATTTCTCGTGTGAGAGAGAGAGAGAGAAATTCAATTAAAAATTACGTTTTTTTAAAAAATTATTATTTCGTTATTTATTTATTTATTTATTTTTTCTAATAAGTAAACGCGTAGAGGGTAGAACAAATAGAAGAGGCGTCTATCTGATTTATGTGTTGCCGTTTCTAATTCAGAAAAACGGGACCTCCCCTGTTCCCTCCAGGTGTGCAACCTGCGGGGTGTCTTAAAGCGCAGGTAGACTGTGGGAAAACTGTTTTCGTTTTCACTCCCCCAATGTGTACAAGTTCATCTTTATACAAACTGGAATGTCAAGAAAAAGTAGTGAAGTTTGTCTTTTATACAATTTTTCTTGACGGGTTTGGTGCCTCAGATTGTCTCCCTCCTTTCATACAGATACGTGGATAATACTTAAAAGAATAAATATATACAGTATATACTTTATAGTGTTTTTTTCCTTTTTTCTAGTGAAAGGGCGCGTTGTTTTTTTCTACTTTTATAGTTTTATAGATATAAAAATTACGATTCAAATCCTCGTGCACCTCTTTTTTATTGTACAGATACGTACAAAAAAGCCTGCAATGAATTAATCACTGCAGAGAAGCCAGTTTTACTATGTACAAATATGAGACATCGTTTATATATATATACATATATCTATGTATATATATAAGGCTATATATATATATATATATACATGTATATATGTGTATATATTTATATCGATGGTGTAACATCACATAATAGCTCCTTACGTTCTCCTTGAGATTGTCGTGACCTTATTTATTTTTTAATTGTTTTGTATGACACAAACTTCGTCGAAGTTTTTTTTTTGGCTCAATCTTGACCACACCCGGACCGAATATTGTTAATTGGACCCAGAGATAGTTAAAAAAGGGGTGAGTTTTTCTACGTGGAACCAAATTTTAGCGACGTTTTAGTTCGGAATTCCATCCACAGATGGCGGCACCGCGAGTTTTGTAAAGTTTTTTAGGGGGGCGAGTCGAAGTGTGGGCAAGATCGGCTTTAGGAACAGAAACTAGGGGTTTAGGTTGATCTAACAACTTCCGCATCTGCGGGATTATTATTATTATTATTGTATTTTTACATAAACATCCTTGGCATATTATTATTATTATTATTATTATTATTTACCCATTCGCTAAAACGTAACCTTCGTTAAGGAGACGAATTTCTCTATCACAGAATAACACAGTCATAGTAGGCATGATATACACAGAGTAGATGAGTGGTTGGTCGTAACAGATATATATAATATATTTATATATAATTTTATGGCCACGTAACTGTCACCAAAATGTCGACTAGTTCGCGGTTCGAAGCCGGGATGTGTTTGCAGTCGAAGATATTCCACGTAAAATTTTTGGTCATTGTTTAAGTAGAATCGATCAGAGTTTTGCGACCGAAGAGTGCAAGAAGATAAGGCACAACACATGTTTAGCTAATGATCTGTAACGTTTGATGAAGTGGACGTGTGGACGTCGTCATTATTCTTAACAGTTTTCTGATCATTCCTAACCTAATTGACTATGGTGAAGTCTCATTAATTTACCTGTAAAACGAACAATAAAATTGTTTGGGGACTCGTTTAATGAGTGCCAATGAATGAGAATGCAAAGTCAGTTGACCGAAGTGTGATTAATGCGCGGATAATTCAATCTTTCATGTGTCGACTTTTCGAATTGATACTCTTTCTCCCCTTTACACTTTCACCTAAACTAATTCGTGTTAACTGGAAACCGTGTTAAATGATTCATGGCCAGAACGGTTAATTTTTTATGTTTCATTCACCCCAATTTTGCACACGCGGTTTAATCCAATTTAGTTATTTTCACGCGCTAAAAATAAACCCTCCCCGAATCACTTACATATCGGTAGTGTGAGTTTTTTTTGTGTACCTATCGTTCTTCCTGCCCGAAATTCTCTAATAAAAATCTTTGAAATTTCCAAAGTTTCTTACTTCTTGCTGTAATTTTTCCTACGAAACTCTTCTTAATTTTGTTTGTTTCTATTAATCGTTAAGTGTAATATCCCTACTTTTTAAAAGCGTTTCTACCGTAATTTCCGTATCGATCGGTAAAATATCCCGTCCGGAAGTCACCGATCTCCTAAAATATTCAGGAGAAGTGTAAATAAATAATTAAAAAATGTATTTTTTTTTAGTCGTTTATCCGAACGATTCTACCTTTAGAAATATTGTCGACTGCATAATATAATCCCGTTGGCATCGCACCTTTATCATTTTTTTTTACATTGGACAAAAATATACATATTCACGTGCAGCTTCGTGTATAAAGTGTGCTGCTACCGCAACATGTGATACCTTCGTCAACACGAATACATATTTTTTTGAAGTCTAACAGGAAATCACCACCAAAAACACATTATTTTTTCGGCAAAAGGTATTGCTCTTAATTTCACTTTTAATTCTATACAATTTTTTTTAAGTTTTTTTTTTCTCACCAGACATGAAAACATTCGTTGCTCCTACCTTTTTTTTTTCTATCTGGAGACAGACACGGACACAGGCGATCGGACACGGTGACACCGCAGACTGCATAGTTACAGAAAAAAAACATCACAGCAAAACGTCTTCAAAGCTGCTTCTGCTGCTGCCTCTAACACATAATTTAGGAAATTTTCTCACTCGAGTCACTTCCGGTATGTACAAAGGATACAAACGCCACTTCTCCAACGATCTTCGCACGAAAGGCATCCGAAGTTTTACACGGAGATTGGATGAACACAACACAATTGGAGATATATATATATATATATATATATATTTATATATATATACGAAACACGCACTCATGCACGCACACTTGTTGACTTAGATAATTTCCCCGATACGTCCCCATTTTCTCCTTTACACACGCAGTATTTATATAATTAAATCCTTTGTTGTTTGTTGTTGGTGTTTTTATTTATTTATTTACTTATTATTTTAATATTCAGATGTGCACCGCTACAGTGACGTCGTTCCTATTCCTTTCCGTTTTCCGATGTCTGATCTCTGGCATCTCGTACTTTAGTTTCTCCCAGAAGAGTTTCTCACCCCATCTCAGAAACACGCTGGTCTTAAGCCACATTTTGACATCGGGTTCGAGGTCCCTATAGGCGATCCTCCCCAAGACTATCACTATGAGTGAGTGTTTACGAGTGCTGAGCACTTCGTGATGGGCAGTCTTAAATTCGTATCTGCACCACTCGCTTTTTAGAAAGTTTTCGGATAGGACCAGTATAGTCCTTCTGCTGTTTTCCATTGCTTCGGCTATGGCGTCCGAAAGATACCCACCGACTGGGAGGTCGCGATAGTGAAGGCACAGTCTGTACGGTGGGTTGCCACATTCCAATTCGGGTGCTAGAATTTGGGCGATGAATGCCTCGTCCTTTTTGCTGTAGGACACGAAGGCGTCGAAGAGCTTGTCTTCGTCGCCCTGGACGATGTCTTGTCTGCACAGGCGAAGTTTGTAGCGGGTATACAACCAGACACTCAGTTCGCGGCGGTAGACATACACCAAAATGAAGAGGAACAGAAAGGCTAAGAAGAGAGAACAGCACACGATCAACAGAGACATGAAATCTTCCACTCGAAAGCTTTGAAGATAGGTGGTGGATGTGTGGTTGGTGCACACCGTCATGTTGAACTCGAGGAGTGGGAATTTGGTGGTTTCGTTGTACGAACACGTCACGTCGTATAAATCTCGCACATTATCCCCACGATCTTGGATATAGTCGCCGAAATCTTGAACAAATTGGCACTCGCACGTCCAGGGATTTTCCGAAAGAGTCACATCGTGTAGCTGAGGATTTACGGCCAATTGCCACACTTGGAATTCTTTTAAATGGTTGTGATCAAGGTAGAGGATCTCGAGAGATTTTAAAGGTACGAAAGTGATGTTTGTCACAGTGGCAATGAGATTGTGAGACAGGTAGAGTTCTCTCAGATACGTCAACCTCTCGAATTCGTAACCGTGAAGCACCGTAATCTTATTTTTCTCCAGGTTCAGCACTTGCAATGCTTTCAGACCGTTAAAAGTTCTGTTGTGTATTACCTGTACGTTACTGTTATTTAGATACAATATTTTCATGTTCTTTCGTCCGATAAACGTGTGACTGGAGAGAGATGGCAGCTCGTTACCGTCCAAGTATAATTCTGTTACGTCCATCGGTATACGTTTCGGTACGGTCTGATGACTTCTGCTGCTGCAGTCGACAATATTTGTGTTCCAGCTCTGGTCGTAATAACAAGTACAATTCTCTGGGCAGACCATTTCGCAATCGCAGGCATCGAATTCGCAACAGTGGCACAGGGCAAAGCAGTGACTCTTGTACTTGCACAGAAATTGCGAAGATTGGGCTTTGATTAGTTGGACCAGTGCTCTTCGACGCGTAAACGACATGTGACATATGATGTCTTCCACGTCCACCATCCTCGGATATTGTCTGGACTCATCTAGGGTACCTATCCTCTGTAACCATTCCATGTTACAGTCGCATTTGTAAGGATTCTGTGCTACCGAAAATTCAGGTAGTGGACGTCGTGTAGCAACTTCGCTCAATCTGAACGCGTTCATTTCCAGTGTTTCTAAATTGTTATTTGTTAAATCGACCCTGGTCAGATTAGCTTTGCCCATAAACGTGAAGGGTTGAATGTTTCGAATTCGATTGTTATTCAGGAAGACTATTTCGATTCCGTTTGGCAATGAAGAAGCATCGATATCTGCTATTTTGTTGTAGGAAGAGTCTAAAGTCCTCAACTTAAGCACAGATTCTAATTCAAAATAATTGCCCAAAGTTTCGATTTGGTTGTCGTGTACGTCCAACCATTGCAGCCCTATTGGGATGAGGGCATAATCGAACCACGATATTCTGTTGGCCGAGATGTTTAGCATTAAAAGGTCGTGCAGATTGCTGAATAAGCCGTTTATGTCTCCAATAAAGTTTGAGTCGAGACGAAGAGCGTGAAGATCTGGAACATCATCAAAAGTTCCTTGCTCTATGGCTTGGATTCTGTTTCTTGCCAAACTTAATATTCTTAGGGACGGTAGATCACGAAATATACCTTTGGTTAGGTTGCCTATTCTGTTGCCTGCTAACCTGAGACTGTAAAGATGTCTTAGGCCTTGATAAGTGGCATTGTGTATGTTAGCCAGGAGATTTTCGCCCACGTCTAAACTTCTTAAAAGTTGCAGAGATTGTATAGCTTGTGGCACAGTTTTCATCCTATTGGAAGCAACGTTAAGTTCTTGCAAGTTGGTGCTATTTCTCAATGCATCCGCATGAATAGTTTCTATATGATTGTGATCGAGGGTCAGGGTACTGACTACGTAGAGGCCATTAAAAGTTAGGACATCGATATGAACCATTCTGTTGTGGCTCAAAACGAGTGTATGCAGATTGTATAAAGAAGCGAAGGCATTGTCGGCCACATTCTCTATGTGGTTGTGATGCAACTGAAGGATCTGTAAACTATACTGGGATCGAAAAGTGGAAGGACCAATTGTGGTTAATTTATTATAACTTAGATCTAGCACCACTAACCGGATCATATCTGCGAAAATATCGGGTCCTAGCCACTGACTGGTGATGGAATTATGGCTTATATCTAACGTGACCATTTGTTGCAGGCCTGAAAACAATCCGGGTGGCAATACGCTTATCGAATTATTTTGTAGATAGAGTTCCGTTAGTTGTTCGGTGCTACGGAAGAACATGGGTGGAAGAGCCACCAACTGGTTGCTGGACATATCTAAATAGCGGAGATTTTCTAGGCCGGTTAGGCTCGTCTCTTCTGCACGAGCGATGCGATTCCGACCCAAGTTGAGTATTTGAAGTTTAGTGAAGATGACGAATCCCCCGTCGGTCAACAGCTTGAGTTTTCCGTTAGACATGTCGAGCTGTCTGAGGTTGGCACGACATTGCCCCGTAAAACCCAAGCTGGTCACATCGGTGAAGTCGTTATGAGTCAAATTGAAGTAATCTAAATGTGGCAGTCGACAGACGAAAGAGGTGGGCAGCGAGGCCATATTATTCCTACTTAAATCTAATCTTTCTAATTTATTTAGGATTGAAAGACTATCTGGGTGCAGACGGAGTGACATTTCGCCCCACTCGCTATTTTCCGTCCTGACTGACAAGTTCCTGAGTTCTCCTAGACCGCTGAAAGCAGCGGACGGGATCTCTTGAAGTTTACAACTCACTATTGATAAGGAGCGTAGTTCGCGTAAGTGATGAAACGAATTGTTACCTAATGTGCTAGCAAACAATAGATCGTCACATCTAACTGTCAGACTCACCGTATGCTCGGGTTGAATCAGGCTGAAGTTGGTGCTGTCGAATGCTCCGTTGATGGTCCTCAGACCACACGTTAGAGCCACGTCGGATATAGAATCTCCGACTGTTTCCCAGCTGCAGTCTTCCGGCGCTACGTACTGCACGGGTCGGCCCGCACATGGCGTACACCGTAACCACCAACACCACCACAGCAACAACAATCTGGAGACGATCACCACCACCATGCTGGCCGCTTAATCCACACTGGTTCTATCCACAACGACACCCGATTAATCCACAGGGAGGCTCGTAATCCACGGACGGTGTCCACGTACATCCATGACACGGCGTGGCACCCGTCATGGCACGTTCCAACCGACTGTCTGACACCACTGCTGCGCTCCGTTGTGTGGCGTTCACATCACGACCACACTCACTCTTTCCAGGGGTGGAAGCTTGACGAGTTGAGGAGGCTTCATTCTCTCTTTGTAGTGTGACCCGGTTATATGCTGGCAGGCTCCACCCACAGCGTGCCTTCACTGAGTTTTGGGCCTCTCACACTCCACCTGTAAAAAAAAACATGCTTAGTTAGTCTTAGTCTTGGCGGGTCGTTAAAAAACTTAAGAGAACTTTCGTTAGTTTGCCAACCTCATTCCTATATTTTTAGAATTTTAGAGGCAATTTAAAGGTTCGAATTTACATAGGAGGCTCGTTTGGGTAGGGCATCTCTCGCATACATATCTGTTACTTTGTACTAGTCTAGGTACACGGCAATACATAATGATGCGATAATTAGTATGCGGTCTGAACTTCGCCGCTAATTTTTGTCTCTATGTGAGGGACAATGAGTGAAGAGAGGACTCATAAAATTAAATTGAGAGAATTTTTTCTCCAGACTTTGGCCGTTTTCTTTGTTTTTTTCCATTCAAAAAAATGCTGTTGTGCAAGATCGGTCGTTATCGCAGTGTCTGCAATCTCTGCTCTGCTCTGGATGATCGCTTCGTTGAAGTCGCAATGAAGCATCTCTGATGCGCCGAACTTGTAAAAAAATGGAAGAAGAAGACATTTTTGGAGGATATTAAGGGAAGAATTCTCAATGACACGATTGAATCTCTAATAATAAGACGTAGAAGAGGAAGATCTTCGTATGTCTATATACTTGACACTATTCAGTGAGTAATAGTGAATTACATAAAGGAGTTTTGTGCTTAAAGATGGAAAGATTTTACTAGTTTCGATTGTGTTTCTCTCTCCGGTGACAGAACACTCATTCTCTGCTTTGACAACTCGCACAGAAGGGCTCCACAGGTCAGCTGGGGGTTGTTATTAGATGTTTGCGGGGTTTTCAATTCTGCCGGCGACACCTGGACCACCTCAATACTCTTCTTTGTTAACAGCACCATCATATTTTATTAAAGAGATGTACCGCTTCTATTAAATATTAAAGTGCCTTTAAAATTCTGTTTAACCTCCTCCCAACGGTATATGTTTTTTTTGTATAATTTATCGCCAGGAAGTATGGCACGAGATTCATCTTACGTCACTCGAGGGAAGCGTATCTAACTCAAATTCTACACTAAATTCAAACTGTATGGGGGCCCAAAATTGAACTTTTCTATTCTCTTTCTAACGTCCGTGCTACACTTAACTGCTAATTATCCGCTGCGAGGTGGTGATAAACTTTGCGGTAGTTCCGGAGTTTGTGTGTGTTTCTAAGGATCGGGTTCTCTGTTCATCCATTTATAAATTTAGCGAGACGTTTTTAGCATTGTCCGATTCACGTTTTTGACAATGGTCGCTCCTGGGCACACGGTCAGATGGAGAAACAGAGTAGAAGAGCAGCGAATGTGCTTCTGCTGGCGGCGAAAATATTCAGCTGCACAGATAACATCTTCTGAACTGGACTGGCTCGACCAGTTTTTGTCAAGGTCTCCCCAGGCCAATTTGCCATGGTTTGTGGAGTCAGACGGGATAGTGTGGTATTTATTGTTCGTGGAAAAGTTTTTCCTCTCTCTCTACCATTGCTTGTACAGTGTTGTCGGTCGGTAAGGGGTCATGCGATCCATTCAGCATTGTTGCTTTGTTTTGTCGGTTTAGATACGGAATCGTGAGATTCTGAATGAGTACTTTTCTTCCTCCTCTTCTCGATTCTTTCAAAATATCCCAGATTAAATCCTAGTTTTGCATACCGCTCGGTAAATTGGTTACTTTAGTAACTAGCCAAGCGTTAAGGCAATGATCGAAGTTACGGTATATGTCAATAGCCAGGCGCGCCGCATTGAAAAATGTTGCACATGAATTCACGTCTGGGACAAGAATTCAATTAGCTGTCGGCTTATAGGTTAAAGATTTTTCTGTCGGTGGGGGTAAATTCAGAAAAATGCCATTTTCTCCGTCTACGTGGATGCCACTCGCTCACCTTCGTCGCTTTGTAATAAGGGGTAAAGCGACCGGTTTTGTCGATGCCACGGACAGGTGTGAGGGTAGACGACACGCTGCACTCGTTGCAGAATGGAAGAGTTCACTGCCAAGATATCTATTATGTTAATTTCTATCGACGCTTCGTCGTTTTCAATAATTATCTGCGTAAACATCTAGCCAGTCACTTATTAGTTTCAATGATTGCATTCTTTATCGATCGTACAGGGGGAGACGGACATCGAGATAGAGACGTCCACTGCTTCACCTGTCAAAGTCGGTTGTTAGAACCCCGACGATTGTGCCATTGATCAATGTATTGGAGGTGCCTATTGTCGTTCTTGTAGTCTATTATCTTTCCTAATGGTTGGATTCGTCTGTTCTGTTTTCTTTTCGAAAAAAAATCGAAGGGTGCTGCCTCGAATACGGAAAAATTCTATCATCGTTCGAATTGGGACTTAAGAAGTGCGGGAAGAAACCACAGAATTTGATTTGTGCCTCCTCCCAGGAAAGATCATTGATTAGGCACCCGTATGAGGGCAACGGACGCAGAAACAAATGGACGTCCAGACCGGCCAGCCTTCCCCAAAGACTACAGCTCATAGTTGGACGCCGTGTGGAATTTCTATTATCTGCAGCTCGACGATGCTGTTGACTTAATTGAATTCTCCAACTCCCCATCGGTAAATTGATCCCGTATTGGTTATAGATCCGAGAGCTGCACCGTATCTAATACACACTACATTACTCTCCAGCAGAAAATATTTGGTATCATATAAGATGGTGGCATCGAGCTGGAATGTGCCAATTCGAACCTAGGTTATGAGTCCGCGATGCGAAATTCTTCCCTTTCTGACACATAAACGAGTTTCTTATCAGATCTTATCCTCTCGAAAGTAGTTTTTCCCTCCCCTTCTTCCTTTATAACTTTCTCTCGTCTTAGAATTTCTGCTTCGTTCTAGATGTGTTTTTGTTATATCTGATGCGAGCCCTGTGCGAAAATTACTACACTACGACTTCTATACAGAAACTAGTTCCTTCCCGGATTAACTTTATTAAGATAAACTAGGTCAGAAGTTACTTTTACCCAGCAAATAGGTGAAGTGCCATATCTTCTGTACGCAGTTCCGAGATAAATGTTTCAATTGTTTTGCCTTATTCACCTAACAGAAAAGGGGGATAAGTGAATGCCGTGCCCAACCTTCCACTTTATATTTCTATAAGGGAAGTAAACGTCCTCCTCGACTCTATTGTTAAACTGGGTTTAGTTGTTCTATTGTGTAGCATCTAAACGCCACCGTAAATCGGAATTTTTCTACACTAGGAAAACAGTCTTAGAGCATTCGATTTAACAAATTTTTACAACATGTTTTTCGCTATTACACTCCACCCCTTCGATATAAAAACGGGGGGATGGATAAAGTGTACCTTCTCTCTACGTTGTTTAATAAGAAAGACGAGGTTGGGATTTAAAAAATAGTAGAAAAATTGATTAAAATTACTAATGGCGGCATCTATGACGTAAAAAAAGAAATGTAATTTAGTTAACAACGTACTTGCCGGATTATTGTTTACGCGACATACACGATGAATAAGTCAATAGTCGGCACATGTATTAATGTCGCTGAAGAAATGGAGTTATGATGTCCATCAGCGACGACGTTAAAAAAAATAAAAAAATAAAAAAAATAGTAGTAGTGAAGGGTCTGCGTGTGCTCGTTAAGCGTTGTAAATAAGTTGAGAGAGGAAATTCTACGAGCCAGACATCATTAGGGGCTAGCCAGCTAGGCCCAAATTGCCTTCGTTCTTTCAGCATCCGAGTCGTCTCTTCAGGTGTGTAATAACGGGAGAGAGCAAACAACTAGGCTCGTTCGAACAATGGAATCTTGCTATAGCTTTTTTTTTATTTTTATTATTATTATTTTTTAATTTTTGTTCCATTTTAAGTATCAACCGGATCGGGTTAAAGCGAGCTTTATATGTCATCTACGTTTAAATCAAATAACGGATAGTGATGCTGTTGATGCTCTCGCCCGTCACGCTCTGTTGAGGTGTTTCTTTCGGGTTGTTGATCCGATAAAAACGTTGATTTTTTTTTCTTATTTTTTAAAAATATTTTTCTAAGCGAGGAAGTGGGAAATCTTCTTTACTAAAAATCCATATTCTATGGGCGCGTGTAATTTTATAAAAAGGGGGAAGAACGTTTAGATTTGTGGAAGGTGTTTTGACATCTCGTCGTTACTTTCTTGTGTCGTTGGCGATTTTAAATTCCGGCCTATCGACTTTTACTTTTTTCTTCGATCTAGATGTCACAGTCACCATAAATAATTGAACGGAAATGTCATTGTTACTGAGTAGTCGGCAACGGAAGTGTATTGTACACATGAAAGGTTACATTTTCTCCTCCAACGAACGAATTGATCAGAATTGCATTGCCTACTCGATCTAGGAGAGTGAAAGGTTTCTCTGTTAACTCTTCCTTCAATCGTTTGATGGATTTAACGTTTATGTCCGACAAGAGACAGTCCCGGGGTTAGAATAGCAGTTTTTAAACACCATCAGCCAATTGCATTGCGACATTCGGACGTGCCATTCAATTTCTTTCTTCCACTTTTTTATTATTATTTTATTTTATTTTATTTTAAAAAGAGTAAACTTTCTATTTTAGAAAATGCTTTTGTAGAAAAGTTAGTTTTAGCTTTTATTTCTTTTTATTTACATCTTGTAATTAGTTTCATTGACATCCCCACGCATCACTCATCTTCATTTTTTCTGCATTGTGGTCCCTGGCTCTACAGGGATTTGATGCGTTCTGAGCCTTTCTAAGCCTGCTGATCTCTTTGCACGTAAATCAATAGTAATGACACGATAAATTCGAGCACCCCCTGAGGTCCCTGACCACATTTTAGGAGCTCCAGATTAGTTTTGTCGGGTCAAACTTTCTAGTGAAAATGAGAAAATTGGTAGGAAATTCTGCTTTCTTTTGCTTACAAAAGCATGAAAAAATTTATTAAGGGGATGGTTTACGGTAGTTATTTTTAAATTTTGCATAAATTGTGCGCATATTTTGTAGTCTTTTCGGGTTACATACAATAGATTGACGTGTATAAATCTTGGATGACAAGTTTATTAAGGAAGATATAAATGA